GAATCAATTTGACTGGATGATCTGGTGAACTGTGAAGTGCTTTGAGATGACGTGTTGCGAATTGGTGCTATAGAAATAAACTGAATTGAATTGGGTAGGTTTAGAATCCTCTGTACCGTAGTGAGGCGTTCCAGTGCTGAGAAGCGTTCCTCCCATGTGGCAGTGGATTTCTCAAAGGCTTCATGCCTCTTGAGGAGCTTCTCCACCTCGTCCACCGTCTGACCCAGGTCCCTGCTGGTCACGTAGGGCTCCTGAGCGATCAGCCAGGCCTCGGCCACCGAAGCGTCCCTTGCAAACTGACAAACCTCCAGCACTGAAAGCAGCAAAGGCAGATGATCATGAGAGCTTATATGGGGTATTTTTGAAGAGGCAGAAACTCCTGCTGTTCCATCATATAGTCTGGGATCAGGGGTGAGGGGGGGGGTTACATTACTCACAGAGGCGGAGCCAGTCCCATCTGTCGTCCCATTTGAACATCATTTCCTGCCTTTTTTCCATCAGCTGTACCAGCTTCTCTTTGACCTGACAGAAACGTTATGCTGTCACTGTCACATTTTATTTATATAAAAAGAAAAACTCATTATAATATTTTCTATTATACTCCAAGATTTAGCATTGTGAAGTAATTAACTGAACCCTCAGTTCGGGAAAGGGTCAATTGCTTATTTGAAATCTGTTTGCTTTTATCCATTTCTAATTAGTGTTTGCTTTCCTGACTTCCCTGATGAATGTTAGAATTTAACTTTTTGTTTTCAAGGCAGCCCAGTTGGTTTGGGAACAATTGCTCCAAGAAAAGCAATTAGATCAAAAGCACAGGCAGAAAAGGAGCCTCCTTTAGGTGCTTCTTCTTACCTCAGCAGAGTCGCGGTGTTTGCGAGTCAACATAGACTTGCCGAGGTCTATGCAGTCGGTGAACTTGGCTCCTCTGGTTTCAATTTCTGAACGGATTCCCTGGTGGTACTTCTGCAGCAGTTCCACAGAGGAGACATCCCTGATGAGGGAGAGGATTAAAAGCAGAAACAGGACCAAAAATACACTTTAATTGCTAAAATGAACGGGAAAAATCAGGGTTTCTAATTTACAATTACAATTAAAGCTAAAATAAATTAAAGCTAAAAAAAAATACCTATAAAAGTACCATAAATGTCAAAACCTCCACTAAAAAAATTCCACTTTTTGTTTGTTAGAAGGCTGCACACCTGGGTTTCTCCTGAGTCTCTATCTGCTGAATGATGCTTTCCATCCAGGCCATCAAGTCTCGCACCATACTGAAGAAGCGGAACTTCTCGGCTGTGTCCACCAGCTGCGACCGCCGGCCATCCGACGCATCCAGCAGGCCCTTCCAGGCTTCAACAACCTCCCTCTCCATGGCCTGGATGGCGTCCTGCTTGTCCCCTGCGTACTGAGCTCTAAGTCTCAAGGCTGTCTCCTGGAACTGTTGAACCTGGAGGAAGGACATAGCAATTAAGAAATGTCATTTTAATGAGTCATTATAATGCAGTTTTAATGTGTTTTTCTTTTCCTCAAAGATAGAGTCAATGAGAAGTTTACAACCACTCATCATGGGCATCATTATCATATTAATCTATGGCTTTTGGGAATATCTCAACCTTCAAATCATTTTAGGTTTGGCTGCACAAGTTTGAATTTGTTGTGTGTTTTTACTTTTGGCAGGGTGAAAATTATACATTCATACTAACATAAAAACAAAAAGTAAAACAAACAAAAAAGATCCAAATTGGATGAATGTCCATTACCAGATTGCATAAAAACCAAAAACTTTTTGTAACCATCAACCATCAGAGCTGTTAGCTCAACTAAATAGATTGGTTTTGTGCTACAGGACAGGCTAATTGCAGCAGGACTGAGGGCTGGGTCATTCCAGGATCTATTCTAAAAGCAGTTCACGTGTGTCTGATCATTATCATGCCTAAGCTTTTACCATCTCACCACAATCAGCTTCTGTAAAAAGACAATTGGTTAAAACGATCAGTCGCCGTCCTAAATTTTTGGGGAGGTTTTAAGGGGAGGCTTTTCCTAAAGTAAAAACACTGTTGTTACACGGTGGTGGCAGCATTGTCCTCTGGAGCTTCTGTATGAAACGATCAAGAAAGGCAATATTCAGAATGCCTTTATCTTTATAGTTATTCATCAATAGCTTTTATGGATGATTATGGTTTTTAAAGGTTTGTCATTAAAATTTAAACCAAGAAAATAAAATCTAATCATCTTGACATCTTTCCTTGACCAAAAGAGCTCTAGTCCCAAACTTCACAAAAAGTTATTGAGCCCCAGTAGTCACTTTGTGTGGTTTCTAATCTTCCACAGTTCATTGCAGCAGTCTGGATACAAATCATCAAAGTGCACCTTTTGGCCGCTGGCTGCTGTTTCCCTCAGAGTTAAAGAGACGATCCCTTGTGTTATACCTGTTTGCCCAGGGCGGTGATGTCTCTCTCAAAGGCGGCGTGCATTCTGTGAAAGGACTCAGCTTTGCTGAAATCCTCCCCCACATCCTCAGGCAGCTCTTTCTGCTTCTCATGAATCTGTGTCACCAGCTCTTTTCCATCATCAAAGTACCTGCAAAAAGTTTGGACCTTAAGTGTCAGTGCATTCATCATGAGCACCACATCTATGAGATGCAGGCAGCATGTCAGATATAGGGTGCCATCACATGCAGATGGTTTCAGTTTGATTTCATTCATCTTAGGGTGCCTTGCAATATTCATATTTGATTTGATTACAAGCAAAACTTCAAATAATTTCATTGAATGGATCAGAGAGACTTGTGGAGAGAGTTGTGGAAGAAAAAAAGGTGTTTATGCAGAATATCTTTGCTATTTTAATAGTTTTAATTTATGAATTAATTGAATTAATTAGAGTAACTTTGACTAGGCCAGTCAAACACATAATGCGTTTTGATCCAAATGACATATTTGCAGGTCTTGCTTGCTTTGTGTCTGTTAGAAATCCAGTTTGTGTGGGTTGTGTTGTTTGTTTGTTTTCCTCCACCACCAGGTGGCGTCTGGTTCTCGTTGGCCTTCTCACACACCTGCGGATGGTTGCCTCATTACCGGAGGACTCTTAAGCTGCTGACTGCCACTACCTCGTCGCCAGAGTGTTTGCTAGTTTTGGGTACTCTAGCCAAGCTGAGTTTTGCTGAGTCAAACTGAGTTTTTGTCACCTGAGTCTTAACCCTTGTTGTTTTTTTGTCTTTGCCTCTCGGCAGGAAGTCATCCTGCAAACTGGATGTTTTGGACCTTCCCCCCCCTGGAAGGATTCTCTGAGCGTCAAACTGAGCTGAGGATTCAAACTGATTGTTTGGATCTACTTTTCCCCAAGGATTGTTTGGGCTTCTCTGTGAGCAGGGGATTTATCTCCACAAGAAACTGTTCAAGTACCGCAGGAAATCTAAGTGGCAATCAGCTCCTCCGTTCCTCAAGGAAACACCTCAACCTGGTTAAACCCTGTCCGCCCTCCAACGAACAAGTCTATTACTGGAACAACCCACACCGACTGGAATCAACGAAAGACACCTTTTTCTGGAAACGTGAGTCCTGTTGCCTTTATTCCCTTCTTCAAATCAAAGACACAAATTTCCCACTAAGCCTGAACTAACCGCAGAATCTTCCCCTTTACTTTTCAGTCCGTGTTCTGTTCAGAGCAGCACTGGACTCCTCTCTACCTACTCACAAAAAACCTGTTAAACCTTCCCCTGGTCTCTCTGTTTGGTTTTCTGCATGTGGGTCAGATCTCTGGATAAAACCATGACAGTGTCATTCTTACATTGCCCCTTTCTAACGTGTTGCATTCGGTGAAAAACAGTGCACCTTCTGTGTCCAATTAGTTTTATTTTCCCTAAATCGCTGTGACAAACATCTGAAAGAAATTTCTAAATACAAAGTAGTCTTATTTCTATAAGAACGTTCACAACCATAAATCATTTTGCTACGACATAACAGTTATGCACCGCTTTATGTTGGTCTGTAGCATAAAAACATAAAATAAACTGGGAGTTGTGGTTGTGACGTGTTAGAAGAATGTGTCTGCACATTTTTTTCCACATACTTGAGCAGGTCATAAGATGCCGTGAGGAGCTGGGAGCGAGTGTCGATGAGCTCCAGCAGATCAGCCCAGCTCTCGTTAATGCCGTCCTTCCACTCTGCCAGGGTGGCTGCCTCGCTGTGGCCCGTTTCAATCAGCTCATCTATGGTCTGGTTGACCATGTTCACCCGATCCTGACCTATCATCCCTGTCTCCCGTGCAAACTCTCTGAATTTATCCCTCAGGAGCTGAGAAGCAAAAAGAAAATAATATCTCTCATTTAATTAATAACAGCATGGAGATTTCTTCTTGTTCTTCTTGAAGAGAGAGAGACAGTGACGTTTAATATTTAAGGTTAAAGGTTTAAGTTATTTTTGTGATTTATGATACCGTGACGTGGTCCAGGTCTTGACCCATCTCCTGCGAGGACGCCGCCACGTCCCTCTCAGCAATCCAATGTTCCAGGTCCTCTACTTCTCGGCTTAGCAAAAAGTGATGGAAGGTGTGCTTCAGTTTCAACCTGCGGTCTTCTGCCAGCTCCTTCAGGCCGGCGTACTGCTTATCTACCTGTCCCTGCCGCCTTATGATCTCCTCACTGAAAAATACGCCATAAAATGAAAGCAGTGAAATGTTAGAGAAACTAAAAACCAGGTCTGACAGTTTGATTAAGTCTAAATGAGATACACATTTACACGCTTGCCATTCCTGCAAGCCTAAAACCACAACTGAGTAAATTAGGGTCGCTATAGAGTTCAAAAACGAACCCATGAGGATGTTCCTCTGCAAACATCCTCTGAGCACGGTCAGAGAGCTTCTGAATGGAATAAGCATAGTCGTCGACAGCCTGTTTCAGGATCATGTGGCGGTTCAGCATCAGCATGGCGGTCTGCTCATCCTGGAGGACAAGAAAAAAGCAAGAAGACGGTGAGGAAAGACGGGAGCGGAGTGCACCCATCAAAGCAAAACAAATTACTTCAAAATTATCTCTCCATGGAGGGTGCCACTTAAAGAAGCCGATTCTCTTAATTGAAGAGAACCCAAACCATGTAATCATGCTGATAAATTCATTACTTGGTATGTGAACAGGCTGATATGCCTTTACTTTGATTAGGATAATAAGATCTGATTTTTAAATATGTTAGAAAGCTTCCTTGAGTTAATCAGGCCATTTTATTGGCTCTTACACACACAGCATGTCCTCCTTTCCTAACCTTAGCCTTTTCATCAGCAATCATGTAGAGCTCCTGCTCTCCGATCCACGCCTCAGCCTCATCAGCATCATTGAAATACTGCTGGGCCAAGTTGGAGCTGCTCAGCCTCTCCCGTCGTTTGGCCATCTCATCCTGCAGCCGAGCCCACGCCTGCTCCAGCTCCTGCATCTGATCCCTGATTCGCTCCGCCTCCGGCCTATCCTCTGTGCTGGCAGCGGCCGCCATCCTTCTACCTCGCTCCAACACTTCATCCACACGGGGCTGATGGCCCTCGACCTCCTTCTGCAACGTCTAAAGGAAGAAATTTGGGTACAGTAAATGTATCTGATTACACTGGTTAATAATACAGGTAATTTATAAAGAAATATATAAAGAAAGAAACGGACATGTCAGTGGAACCAAAATAATTGAAAATTAGCAACTTTTGGCATCTGAAATAAGAATTGTGGTGTTTACATTTTGTCAACAGAGAATTCATTCTCATGTCCTTCCTAACACTGCAAAAACGATCAGGAAATAAGTAAAAAATTAAATAAAAAAAATAAAAAATCAAGTTTACTCTTAATCTGAACAGGTAAATAAGACGATTTATCAATGGGATGAGTATTTCCACTCTTAAAATCAGATAATGTGATAATATTCACTTGAAATAAAATAATGCCATTTTTTTCTCATTTTACATGTAAATTGTCTTTTTCCATTATCAAATTGTCTCACTAACCTCCTCACTTCAAGAAAAACTTTTCTTTATTTAGATTTACATTTTTTGCAGTGAATAAATTGGGGTTCTGATTGGCTTTAGAAAGATAAAGGATTACTTTGGCAGAACTACTTGTAGTATTTTTAAATCACACTGTTAAATCAATTTATTAGTAAGTTGGTGATAAAATGAGCCATTTTGAATTTATAATAATAATAATAATATAAAATTGCACAACCTGGTCTTTATTGTTTAAGTGGGCAACTCTTGGTTGGCCTTTCCTAATTGTGTGCGTTAGATGTTATTATTTTTCTCCCCCACTTCAGAACTAAAACTTAACAGGAATCTTGACAATTGTTTTTTTTTTTTTTGTTGTTTTTTTTTAAGGTATTGCAGTTCTAAGTATTTAACATGCAGCAGGAACAAGAGAAAAATGTCCTTTTGGGATTATACAAACTGCTAAACTGGTCTGGAACATCACATTCTCTAGGATGTGTTAAAGTGTTTGGTCTTTAAGTGACAAAATAACTTTAAACGTATTGTCTTTATATTAAGATTTTAAGAATTAGCATTGATGTGTTGTAGTTTAGAGCACAGAGATTGCTGACAGACAGATCCTTACCTGGTTCTTTTTTAACAGCATCTGCACACTTTGAAGGTTGTTTCCGTGCTCCTGTGACATTGCCAGAGGCATCCTCTCCTCAACCCAGAGCTGAAAGACAAAGAAAGAACAAAATGATAAGAGTACAAAAAAGTCAAATTAGAAAAATTGCTTCATAGTTCTGATCTGCACCAAATATATATATATATAAAAAACTTTCTTAAACAGATTTATTGATCCTTCACAAAGTAAATCAGATTAAGACAATAAAGAAGAAGACAGCAGATTTAAAAAGGATTTCTTAAAGATCAATGGTGAAAAACCTTTTTGAAATGTCTTAAAATGAAAGAAAAAAAGCAAACCAAAGTACCATCATTTAAAGAAATGCTATTCAGACAAGGTTCCTTATATGTTTATGTGATGAGACCATCTCAGTGCATCTGGATGCATGCAAACGGCACGCAGGGTCCTGACCTGTAAGATCTGATCCCCTTCACTCCAACTCTGCGCTATTAACCATTATATAAAAGCAGAGAGCTCTGACTCTTTCATTCCCTCCTGAATGATGTCCATACTTACAAGCTCATCAGCCAGGTCTCTGTAGAACTGATGGACAGCCTTGGCAGCCTCCAGCTTGCCGCGGCGCTGGGACAGCGGCGTGAGGAGCTGCTGGAACTCACTCTGCAGGGCTTGCTGCTCAGCCTCCAGCTCTGGCTGGTCCTCCCTGGGTCCCCCGTGCTTCCTGACAGCCTCTTGGAGCTCTTCCAGCTCTCGTGCCCGGTCACGAACCTGGTTCTCCGTCATCTGGCATGGGAGAAGGGGGTGGAAAGGAAAAAATAAATAGCTTTTCAACAGCCTCATCAGGATGCAGCGGCGGGTAAGTGCTGCCTATTTAGCATGAAACTATGCTTACCCACAGGATTTCTGAGCTCCTATAAAAGTTCTTCTATTTATTTATTATAAGTTGTGTTTAAGGTCACATACATTTTTATTTCTATTCTAACAATGAGGAATAAAATATGAATTCAATTAAAGCAGATTCTATGAAGCAATGACTGGACGGTGTTTATTCACCTGGTTGGATTTTAAACCAGACATGCTGATAGAAAGAATAGAAAAACAAAAAAATAAAGGATATACTCCATATTCTTATAAACATACAGACCTGGTGCTTTTTGAGCAGGATGTTGGCGTTTGTAAGATCCTTCACATCCTCATCTCCGCTCTGTAACTGCTGCTGAAGCTCAGCCAACCACTTCTTCATATCAGCCAGGCTTTGGTCGAAAAGCTCAGAGCGATTGGCGTCGAACAACAGCCGGTCCTTCTCCTGAGTCGTGGACTCCAATTTTTCCCAGAGCTCATGAAGCTGGGCCAGGCGCTCCTTCACTATTGGCTCAAACTCAGGCTTGGATTCCATGAGCTCCTGGCCCTCCTGAAACAACAACAACAAAATAAAAACAATAAGTTTGCTTTTACAGTTACCTATTGTTAAAAACCATTACATGCTTTTAGATTGAACAACATGTTTATGATCATTGAGCCTTAAAAGTGCAAGACTTTAGTGATAATAAACAAGATACAATAAATTAAATCTTCCATAAAGTCAAGCATGAGACAGGAAGGTAAGTAGAGTAGCACGCTTTACAAGGCAATAATAATGAATACATAAAATATAGACATGGTATAAAAAACACAATAAAAGCAATCAAGACCAAAGTCCAACTAAAAGCCTGGAACCTAATATGAAGTTGTTGTGAAAAATAAAATCTAACTAAAAGTAATAAAAAAGGTATTAACGTATTTGCATAGGTTTACACACAAATATTAATCCTTCACAAAAAGTTGAATCGTCACTTATTTTATAGATATATGCAGGAAAAAGTATATTTATCTTTTTTTATTGAATAAATCCTTTGAGATTTGGAATCTCTTTTACAAGGACGTCCTGGGTCTTAATGCTTTTAAAATAATGAAATTCTGTGTCTTGGTTTAAAACATGTCACTTTATATGCGATAAATCTAGAATGGGAGGATTTCACTTTCTAAAATAAGTGATAAATATATTTTGGATTAAGTATTTTCAGAGGTACAGTTGTGTGGTATGACAGTTTTCTGAATTATATATTTCAACATGCGGCTAGTTCAGAAGACTGCGGGCGTTAGCCCCCCTTTGTTCATAACCCTACCAAACACTTCCATAAACGTTTGCATATTTTGGTACGTGTAATCTGCATTTAACTTAATAAGAACTGGCATTTTAGCAACTAAAAAAGATCTAAAAGGGATGAAACCTTTTCTTGTTTCACTGCAAGGCCTTTTCCCTGACAGAGTAAGATGGTTTAATTTAACAAAACCCTATATTCTGCTGTCACAACCAATGTCAGGGCTTCAAAGAGATCTATGAGTTCTGGCCACGCTTGATTGCCATATAAATACACCAAATATAGACACGCTGAAATACTCTGATGATATAGTTTTACTGTCAGGACAGGGCTGCACCCACATGGTGTTCAATGGAATAACAAATATTCCTTTAAGATAAATACGACTCAAGTCAAAGAAATGGTCTTTGAATCAAGTTACTGTTGGCATCCATATTGAAGGATGGTACCGTCCATAAATGCGTAGAGGCCATAACTGATAATATGGTATTTTGGAAAATTTTAATTAAACTGGTCTGTAAAAAACATCATAAAAGATATATTTCCTTTGACATCTGAGGTCTTGCAGAGCAAGCAAAGAAGTTCTTATCTTTTTTTAAATTTCTGTGATAATAAGGGTTTATCAGTACTGTAACACTTTGTGGTATACAAGTCTGTCCTTTGTTGAAAATATCAAATGTTTCATCAAATTTGCTCTAAAAAAACCTCCTTGAATCTTTCTACTTTGAGATTTTGTTGAAATGTAAAGTGCAATACAAATAAAATGTATTATTATTATTATTACAATAATAGAAATATGGTGAGATTAGTTAATAACATTGCATTAACCTCTGATGATGGCACATTTTAATAAGGTGAAACATAGAAATTCATCACATAGATCAGTCAATTGTGAGACGAAACCTGGATTATTAACCAGTAGAGATTGGGTGTTTATTTGAGTCTTTCTGTGTTTATGTCTGTAAAAATGTTGATGTGATGAAGGATGAACTTCATATTAGTTGTAAAAATGAAGGAGTCTGATATCCAGGACAAATCGTTTGCAGGCTGTAAGCTAGCTCTATCCTGACCTGTCAATATTTGTCCACTCTGTCTGGCTCTAGATCTGTTCTACACACCTTCACCTGTCCACCATCTTAGGTTGAGCTCACTGATTTTCTGTAATGTTTAGTTAAGGACTCTGGCCAGGCTTTTCGAAAATTATAAACCTTTTTTTTTTTTTGCTGCTTTAGAGGGAATCCACTCCTCTAGGGTCGGTATGCTGAACATTTTAGATGTTTCTCTGCTTCAACACACCTTCATCAAATAATTAGGTCCTTTGCAGGACTTGACTTCAGCTGAGAAGGTAATCGAGCCATTTTACTCAGGTGTGTTTGACCAGGGAGATATTTAAAGTTTTTAGGCCCTTGAGGACTTTTAAATTTCTACCTTAGATGTATGGAAAATGTGATGCTAAAAAACTGGTAAACTGTGGCTGAAAAGTTGAGAATTGGTTTCCTCAGACAATAACAGATTATTTGGCAATGTTTGCTTGAATTGTGGCCAGCACAGTTTTTTTTTTATCTTTGGTAAATTAGTTGTTTTTTAAACTCCACAAATTAGTCCCGACATATAGGAAATTCTCCCAATTAGTACTAGCTAGATTTCACTGCATATATCAGAATTCTTTCAGCTCATATATAATATTTTAGGTCAGGTTTAGGGATGTATTCATTTTTTGTAAATTCAAAGTTCCTCAAATTTTCATACAGTCTGTCGACATTTTGCCATGACATAATAATTATGTAATGGGTTTTAGTGCTCTTCCCCTCACAAGGCAAGGCAAGGCAAGGCACGTTTATTTGTATAGCACAATTCTGTACATGGACAAATTCAAAGTGCTTTACAGGAATTAGATAATCAGGGGCGGAGCTAGATGGGGGGCTAGGGATGGCCATGGCCACCCTTAGCCAATCATTGGCCACCCCTGTGGCCACCCCTACCATCCCCCCCCCCAATAACCAAGTGAAATATTCAAAATATTTTAATTTTTCATATATTACTTACAATTTTTTTCATATATTCATAATTACTTGATAGCAAAAACACTGTGTTAATTATGCACATCAATATAATAACATTAAAGATGATAAGAACATATTCCTGCTCTTTTCAGAACTAGATTTTGTGTTTCATGGGGTAAAGGGAAAATTACGTATCTCTGCATTCATCTAGGAGTCTTTAGTGAAATCATAGCTATAACTATTAATAACTATTATAATAAAAATGTATTGAACAATTAATTTATGTAGATATTAATACTTGTAAATATCAATTTTAAGCAGGATGATTATTGATAAAAGCAGGTAAGTAATGACAAAGGGAAAGATTTACGCCCCAGAACTCAAACCTGAAAGAATTGTATCCACTATACCTTTTATCTAGAAAGCATGGATGTTTACATATAAGCATCTATTTGCTAGCAAGGGCTGTAGGGAGTATAGTTTGTCTTTATTTAGAAAATATGGATGTTTTGCTCATTAATTTTCCTGTTGGAACATTGCCGATTGACCCTGAGCTTCTGGTGCCCATCCTTTTTTGGCCACCCCTCAGTGTACATTGGTTACTGCCTGGCCAACCTTATAAAAATGCTCTGGCTCTGCCTCTGTAGATAATACAATAGAAGATATAAACAATGAGTATTTTACTGACCTGGTCTACTTTGTTGAGCCAGTCCTTATTGGAGGCCAGCTCTGCCATGAAGGCCTGATGTTTGAGCCACTTGCTGTGGAGGTTTCTGGCCTCATCATAGGAAGTATCCTGAGCTGTTAGCATCTTTTCATTGATCCACACAGTCAGCTGCAGCAAAGCAAGAAAAAAGAATATTATGCATTTATTGAGGTGGATTAAACTTGCTCTCATAAGAAAGAAAGAATAATAACAATTTAAAAGTCTAATAATTCTAAAGAAGAACATAAAGTTATAAACAAGGTATTCATAAAACTTTTCTTAAGATTGTAATGATCTCACATCTTGGGAGTTTTGCAGGAAGTGCTGAAGGTCACGGTTATCTCTCAGCTTTTCAGACACCTCATCGGCTCGTCTCTTATTCTTGTTATGCCTAAGAAGCACACAAAAAAGAAAAGGTAGACAATAAATGAATAACAATTTCAGTCAGAGCTGGCCTTTCCTTCTCCGCCTAACAAATCTCTCTGTGACATAATTCAAGCTGCATACTGTAGACAAACCCACCAGAGCTCCACTTTACTGAAATAAGTCATGTCTTTCTTTGCTTCGCAGAGAAGAAAAGCTCGCGCTGCTAAAGATCAATATCCATTATTGCAGGTGCCTGTCTATCAGGCTGAGTATTGGGAGAGAAAGCGGCAGCTCAAATGCCCTTTCTAAAGCTAATAATGCAGAGGCTAGAAAAACATTTCCATCACTGAAGTGAAATTCTAAAGGAAGTGGGGAGATATTTCTGCTAAAGCTCAAATTTCCTGCCTAAATTAAGACTTTAAAATGACAATGAACTTCCAACCTTTCAATCTTGGAAATTTATCTGAATTAAATGTTTTTAAGATATAACAAATGAGTCCAAATGTTACAACAAAAGTGATAATGTCTAGCTTTAAATGTTTTAAAATGGGTGACAAGATTGGCATAAGGAATTAAATACCATATTTCTATCTGCACATTTTCCTCTGAGGGTGTTTTGGATTTTCTCAAGACGTCTTCTAAGGATATTTAATGAATTAATTAATAATGTTTGCGTATTATGTCTGCATTTAATTCTAAACAGTTTCTAAAGAAGGTTTTAACTATGTTTCTCGGTTCTTCACTGCAAAAATAATCTAGAAAGTAGTAAAAGAAATCTTAATTTAAGTGCATTTATCCATAATTTAAACATGTAAATAACATGATTTGGCATTTGGAATGAGTATTTTTACGCTTAAAATAAGATAATTAGATAATATCCCTTTAAAATAAAAGACAATATCTTGGCAAAGTGTTTCACTTACCTCCTCAATTCATGACAAATTGCACTTCTTTTAAGAAACATTTCTTCTGCAGTGTTAAAGTTTGCTGGACATGTAACTGGGCATTTTCTGACAGTAGTTGTTATAAGGAGGCCATACACATTATTTAACTTTACATAGGGCTGGGCGAACAATCGATTTTACCAATTAGATGAGTTTTCTGTTTATAAAGTTTTTTGTACATCTAGATTTTTTTCCACCAGTGCAGTCGTTGGGTTTCCATAGCTCAACAAGAACTCATTTGTTCTTAGGAGTCTGCTCATAATGTTAGGTTTCTGTTTCTGTTATGTTTTTGTTTTGATATTCAGTTTTGCTTTGCTCTTTGTTTTATAGTTTAGTGGTTTAATTAAATATTTTGTTCTTTCTGGTTATTTTACGATATTTACGTTTCTGGTTATTTTCAGTTCTCAGGTTTTTATTTGTTGGCCTCTGCCCTCTTGAGTTCTCCTTTTTTCTCTTGCTCCTTTTTACTGCTCTGCTCACACCTGCTCCTAATCTGCTCGTTAACTCTCTCTTTCTTTCAGTCTCCTACAAATACTCTCTGTTCTGTTCTTCTTTGCTGGGTCCTCGTCTAACGTCATCAGTCTTCCTCCTACTCGTCTCTCCGAGCCTTCCTCCTGGTTACAGTTCTTCCCCTGATGACTCCTAAGTTTTTGGTAAAGTTTTGCCTTATGTTTTCCTTTTTTTAAGGTCTTTGAACTTTTGGACTCCTGGTTTCTCATTTGTTTTTGGACTTTGTTATCATTTGTTTTTTGAATTCCTGTTGCTTGTCGTTTTGGACTTTGTTTTTAAGTTCTCTTCGTTAACTCAACCAAATATTTACCTCTGCCTGCCTACCTCTGCTTTTGGGTCCACAACCCACAAACAAACCCTGACACATAACTGATAAACTAGCTCACTGTGCAATATCACAAGAGGCAACCATTTGGTTTGTTATATGTTAGTTGTGAAACATTATTATTTTTATTTTATATATTATAGATAATTTTTTATCATAACACTTATGGAAAAATATCAGAGATTACATTTTTCAGCCATATCTCCCACCCTATGGAGTTATTTTTGTGTTTTTATTAAATTAAAGAAAAAAAGCGATCTGCAACGGAAACATAATTTTGAAAGTAAAATAAATGTATTGGAGGGAACGATTTTCACACTGTAAACGTAAACGCTGATGTTATTTAAGAGGAAAAAGTTTTAACAAAATATTTTCTCTTAAAACTTTTTCTTCAGACTTAACATCAGTGTGAAAATGTTTTCTCTCCAAGACATTTATATTACTATCAAAATTATTTCCGTATTTATGTGTGGCCAGGTCATAACTGTCAAAGGAATTTAAAGACATACCTTATCACAAAATTATTAATTAAAAATAATGAACTCTTTTTAAAACATCATTAGAGGTTGTATCAAATATGTTGTTGCTCTGCATTCATTGGTTTTTTTTTAGTCTGCATGATTTGAGCAAAGCTTAAAAACACATCAGGAAAAATGGATAAAGCGCTATTTCCACACATAAACTACTACATTTCATGAGATGTGTTTCAAAAAGACAAAGGCTACGTTCACACTACAGGCCTCAATGCTCAAATCCAATTTTTTGGTGGAAATTGTTGTGCTTGGTGGTTAACATTTCCAAAAGTATGCGACTTGTATGATCTCTGTGTGAATTGCAATGATACAGCTTAAGTGTCCCGTATGCGCAGTAGAGGCAGAATGACATCACAAGTAGTGAATGTCATCTCTGTTTATAGAAGTAAACATGGATGGTAGAGCTGGAGTGCATCTAAGGATCTTTCTTTTCTTTTCCAACTGCAGCCAACACTATCTCTTCAAGAAGATCAAAAAGAAAGACTGCTCTCTACATCATCATCCCTCATGGTTGGTTTTCTTCCTGCTTCTGCGTAGCAAGACAAATAGTGCTCTTTGTTGAGTATTAATGACGTTCAGGTCAGATGAATGTGACCTGGCTGTTCAGACACAAGTAACGTTTCAAAAGATCTGATATGTATCACATTCAGAACCTCATAGCCATGTGGCCTGGGTCGCATTGGAAAAAAACTGATCTGTTTTGTTCAGACTGTCATGAAAAGATCTGATAAAGATAGTCAATGGTAAAAAAAAAAATCGTATTTGGGTGACATGTCATCTCTTTTCTTATTGACTCCATTAGCGCTCTGGAAAAGCCCCTCAGTCTGCAGCATCTCAACCATTTCAAATACAGGAAGTGATGAGAGATTCTGGAGCAGGATAAATGAAATGATATTCTACCTTATTCATGTGACTAGTCTCTCTGTTCTTAACAGAATTCAGCAGGTGTATGAGCAACATGCAGGAACACAGAATTGTCACTGCCTACACAGAAATGATAGAAACCTTTTTCAGGGTGCAACTAGATAAGACATCATTCCTTTCTACACAAAGTAAACAATCCCCTGTCATTTGGGTAGTGTTGGCTAATGCTGAAAGGAAACATACACATTTTGTTGGGTTTTACTTAGGTTGTCAAGATAAAATGTACTTTGCAAGTCAGTCAGAAAGCTGATTGCCCAGCGTTAAAGATGAAATCATTTAGTTATAGTTTAACATATAGGTAAACTCACGTAAACCAAAACAATACACCACCTGTGTTGCACAGAGTCCATTTTCTCCTGAACTTTCCCAGAATACAGGTTGTTGCTGTCCACCACTCGCTGTCCGCCCTGCATGACACCATCAATCTTATCTTCGTTGACTTCCATCATGCTGACAAAGTCCTCATGCTTCTTCAATGCTTTTTCTGCCCCTGCCAATGTGTCAGGCTTGTCTATGTGAGCCAGAGTATACTCCTGCAACAAAACAAGCATTGTGGGATTTAGAAAAAGGAAAAAAATGCCTCAGAACATGAAGGTGGACTCTCCAGAAACCAATATTTTACTGATGGAATTACAAGACAAACAAGTGGCGTGGAAACTGACAATTCAGCATTCCTCAACTCAACATTCTTGCTGAATTCCTGCAGCTTTGTTGACCTGAGATGTTCAAGGTGTCTTAGATGATTTTGACCCTCTACTAAAACAAAATTACACGATGAGGAAAAGGATTACCTGGTTATTGAGGATGGCTTCTACAGCTTTACAGTCCCTCAAGAACTGCTGGAAGCCCAGACCCTGGTCCAGGAAATGTTTGCGACTGTCCCAGATCTTCTGAAGTTCATACCAGCCCCGGTCCAGGCCCTTCAGTCTCTGCTCCAGCTGCTGGTACTGAGGATCATCTTCCTGGCCCTGGATGACCCGAGCTCCAGTGTCCCTTACCCGGTGATAGTCCTCTTCATGGTTGTTTATGTCTTCTCGCACAGCGTTGTGAAGGCCGAGCAGCTCTTCGGCCTCCTGCAGCGAGGTGGGCATCTCCTCAGATGCCACAGCTTTCTGAGTCTTGAAAAGCCAAGACTGGAAGTCATCCATGTCTTGGAGGAAGGTCTGTAACTTACTGACCTCGCCGAGAGAGTCTTCCCTGTCTTTAAGGGTTTTTCTAAGCTTATCCCAGGCCGTGTCCAGCTCTCTCCTTCGGGCTAAGATATCCTCTGCATTCTCCGGGTGATCCTGGGCCAGCTGTTCCGCCTCTTCTTTAAGGAAGGTGAGCTTAGCCTCAATGGCAGCTAAATCTCTCTCCATGCCGAAAAGTTTCCTTTGGATGGTAATGACAGCTGCCAGGTCATTGCCCAGATCCTGTGTGGACTCGATCACTCGTGTCTTTTCTTTGATCCAGGTTCCTGTCTCATCACACTCCAAGCCATAGTTATGTAGACTGACAGCAGAATCCACTTTCCTTTTCTTGTCCTCTACCATGGCCTTGAAAGCCTCCCATCTAAAAAAAGTAAACATTTTATTATGAGCTTAACGTACGGCAATTCTATAATTCATATTCTAAAAATACTTTAATATCTCATCCTCTGGACCTTTAATTTTTCAGTAAGATTTTACTTATTTAATCTATTAGCAGCTATTAAATAAAAATAAATATCTCACATTTACACATTATTAAAAACAAGTCCTAACCTAGCTTAAAATAAAGCTTGCAAAATTTTTGTTTTGTTATATCATTGGTAATTACAGTAATTGTAAAAAAAAAAATACACACATTTTTTTTAATGTCACAAATACATTTTCATGAGTTTTTGATACATTTCAATAGCTTTCTTTGGCCTTTTTGGAGAAATGCGCTCCTCCCCTACCTGTTGCTGCACCATGCCATTAAGCCAGGCTTATAAAAAACACAGTCAGTTTATTTAACTTTTTTTTTTTTCAGATCTTTTCAGATCATATGAAGCTAGTGATAAAAGATATTTGTCTAAAGCCTGTTAGAGAGAGAATCAGGAAGAATTACATAAAAGTTCCCATGTTTGGAATTTGAAATTGGGTTGGTTCGGTTGAGGATTAAGCCACAGTATTTATGCCTCTATTGCTAAACCAGCATCATCTCTCACTGATCAGTCTTATTAAGATATCACCTTCGTTAAAAAATTGTACAAGATTTAGGGAAAATTGTCATGTATAGTTAGCTATTGCAAGCTGGCTACCTATGCAGAAAGCTTTACTAATTACAAACTGAATATCATAATTTTTAATGATCATATTAAGAAATTTTGACTATTAGAAGGCCAGAGCATTAGCAAGCATTTATTATCATTCTTTGTTACATTAAATGACTTTGATCACGTTAAAAATCTCCCTTTTGAATATTTGTGTAAACAACATGAAGTACTCGTTGTTGTCATTAGTCTCTAACTATCCTAAAATTAGTCTCCACATAAGTTAGGGTTGCAGCTAAGATCTGGTATGCTTTCATTTGAGAAATAAGAATATGACCATTTAAAAAGCGGGAAGTGGAGCTAAATTAATGATGAAATAAATTTTGGTGAAAGCTTTATTAGATGATTGTTGTACAATAAAAAAGAATTTTCTAAAAGTACCTTTTATTTAGTCGTGTCTGGCATTCCTTGATCTCTTTAGTGCGGGGGTGTCTGCTGTCCTCAAGCTGTTTTGCAGCTTTATTGACGTCATCTACTCTTGACTGAACGTTCGCCATTTCCTGAGCGAGAGCGCTCAACCTGCAAATGAGACAACAGCTAGTTAGAAAAACAACACCATGCAGAAACTTTCAGCCCATTAGTTTCATTTAGATTACTGATCTCCAGTTACATCATTTTTCTAGTCTACCTGTTTTGTACCACTTCTAAATCCTCCAGGTTCTCAGGCACCTCTAAGCCCACCAGCCATGTCTCCTTCATGCTCATCCAGAGCTCACAAGCGTCTGTCTCACTGAAGATGGTGTACAAAGCCATAGTGTCATCCAGCTTCTTCTGTCTCAGGTCAGCCAGAGTCAGGAGCTCCATGTAAAGGTCCTTGACGTCTTTGAGACGCCTCTGAATGTCAGGGGTGTTTTGTAGCTCCTCTGGCAGTGCATTGGCTTGCTTGGACAGCATTTCGATGGTAGCTCCATTCTTAATGGCTTCATTTCTTAAGCTGTTGTGGTTTTTCAGTAGCCGTTGAGTCGTGTACTCATCGTGGCCTACGTCATCACTGCTCATTTGCCTCTTGGCATCAAGCAACCAGGCCTTGAGTTCATCAGCATCACCCTGAAACTGGAAGAAGGTCTGTGTGTCCTGAAGGTTCTGCTTCCGAAATGTGGCCAAGTCCTCCAGCTGCTGCCACTGCCTCCTGATGTCATCCATGCACTCCTGAATCTTTGGAGAACCAAAGTGCTTGGCTTGGATCATCTTATCCCCTTCAGCCAAGATCTGTTCCAGATTGGTGCAGCGAGCTCCAAGCTCATCCTCGAAGGCGCTGTGCTTGCTCTGGAGCACCAGCACGCTGGTAAGGTCTTTTCCATAATCCAGGGAGGAGAACAGCTGCTCCTTCTCTCTAATCCAGCTCTCTAGCTCAGCCACCTCCCACAGGAAGTTCCAGAAGCGGCGAGACTGCTCCAACCGAGCCCTCCTCTGTGCAGCCAGGGCACAGAGGTCCTGATAGCAGAGGTCCAGGTGCTGCACCCTGTCACGGATCACTTGGGGATCACATGGCTTATAACCTGCAAAGAGAAAAAAAATCAGCAAAAAGTTCCTTTATACCGAGTAGGACATGCTGTTTTCCCCAATGTATATCTTCCTTTTTCAGCTGGAATGTGGAATTGTAACGAGGCATGTCCCTGTTTCCAGTATCAACATATACCGGGAAGTTATAGCTTCAAAAGAAACCCTTTTGACACAAAGTTCCAATAGTGTAAAAAATGCTTTGCTTATAAGAGAGGCAAATTTGAGTGTTTGGAAAAATTTCAGGCCACAAAACATCCCAATAAATTGGAAAAATCAGATGAGCAAAAGATAGGAAGTCCACACGAAAAACAAGGTTACAGGGTATTGTGAATTGTAAAGTAATTCACAGCAGCATTCAGGTCTGCCACATTTACTGGTTCATTTCCAATGTTAAACCAATGCATAAAGTTTCACAGAAAGCCAGCTATTTCTTTCCTCGAAGGTGTAATGAGTATGTTCCACTTACTATCTCCATTTGCAAACTTCAGAGCAGCAGCACTGGCACTCTGTACCCTCTCTGCCTGCAGGGCGATGTCGTTCTCTAGCAGTGCATGCTTTTGGAGTAAGTCCTCCACCTCTAACAAGTGTTTCCCAAAGTCAGGAGACAGCAGTCGAGCCTGAACAGAAGCTTTAGGATTAGATTTCTTTATCGAACGCTGATGGTTTTTAGAGTAAATATATGCATTCATACCTTCATTTCATCCATCCAGCTGATGATGTAGAGCATCTCCTGGAAGATCCTCTGCAGGGTAAGGTTCATATCCAAGCGTCCTTTTCGAGCCTTGAGAAGCTCCTGCAAGTAGTCCCACAGCCTCAGGATGTTGTCTTTTCTCACGTCAATCCGTTTGGAGTCGTGGTAACGCTCAGACTCCAGCTCCAAAGAGATGTTCACCAGCGCCTGAACACGCTCCTCGTATGCGGCGATGTCCGTCTCGATGGCATCATGCTTCTTCTTAGCGGCTTCTACAGCCGGCAGGTCATAACCAAAGTTATCCTGAGGAGAGAGAAGGTTGAATTGTATGTTACTGTAGACTAGGTTATTTTAGCCGACCTTTAAAACATGATAGTGCAGATGGATTTCCACAGTAGACACTCTTTCATGTCTTTATATTTTACGGTCAACTGAAAGCTTAAAATTTAAACAAAAACACATTTAAAGCCAGATCTTTGTTTACAGTTGTTGGCTAACCTGAGCCACCAGTCTCTGGTTCTCCAGGAGCCACGTCTCCCTCATTGCTGCCTTCCTGTCGAATCTTCGCGCCATCTGTTCCAGCTTCTCCTGCCGGATCAGCTCATCCCTCAGGACGCGTTCCCGCTCGTGTTCCGCCCTTTCCAGACGCTCCCAGGCCTGCACAGGGATAATGAGAAGCATCTCGAGTCTTTGTAGTTTCCACAGGGGTCGTCAATTCAGCAATATGAGATGCTTAAAAAATGCAGATGTTCCCTTCTGCTTGAGTTCATCCTTAATGAAAAGCTCAGAGGTTAAAAAAATATCCAGCATCGGTGTCTACTCCGAAAAGATTTGTTTATTCAAGTATTCAGTATGCTATGAAATGATGCATATTTGAGCATGCTATAAAAGAAGAGACTGAAATATATTTTACAGGAATTTTATGAACTTCATTCACACATAGCAGGGGAGGGAAAAATATACATGACTTTAAAAACATCTAAATATTGATCTAAATTCTCTTATCTAATAATCGTAAATAAAAAAGAGACCACTGGTGAGTAATTTATTCTTGTCAAAACAGCATTTCTGTGAAGGTCTCAGGGTTTTGTAAGAACCTGCATTCTATTTAAATTAATCCAGGGATTAACAAGCTTGCTAACCCACACCAAAAAATTAGAGCTAGAAAAAAAAAGACTTCTGGAAGAGTTTAACTAAAGTTAAGAATTTTACGAAGTCCTGAATTTCTTTTAATTCCTCATTGTTAACCCAAATGCAGGCCAGCTGAGTCAAAACTATCTACCTAAACCAAACTACGAAACAGGAAAAATTACAAAAATAGCTAAGAGGTTAATGCTAACTCCGAGGGAGCTGCAGTAAAAACAGCTCAGGTGGAAGAGTCCTCTAACAATAAAGTGGAAACAGAAAGCCCCTTCATGGCTTGTTGCAAAAGTCAATATGTAAGCAAGGTTTCTTTTACCTAATGTGCAAGAAGCTATGTGTGATAGGCGGATAAGCACTCAGCGGCCTGAACAACTCCATTATTAAACACTAGCTTAGAGCCAGAGTAAAGCAGACCAAGTTCAAACATAAACCACATTTTCACGGCTGCAACTGGGGAGCCAGTTACCCTTCAGACCAGATACTCCTTCATTTATTGGAAAATGAGAACTGAAGTTGCTATATATTTACACTTTCTTTGTTTTTTACTTCTATCAACGTAATTGTTTTATGAAACAGTTTTGAACATCATTAAGAATCAAAGCAGCATAATCAAACCTGATGAAATTGTGTCACGGATTTTAATTTTACAGTCCCACCCCTACATCTAAAGGTTCCTCTAGGAATGTTCAGACCATCTGATATTTTCACTCAGAGGTAAGAATGTTTGTTGATGTTTAAAACCAAATCCTTCAACAAAACATGAAAAAGTTTCAAATGTATGAATACTATGCGCCTTAAAATGCATTGGAAGTTCATATATAATGATAATTGTTGTTTCTTAAATGCATAGTTCAGTATGTTGTTACGTTACTATGTTCTTTTTTCTTTTTTTTTTACTTTCAGACAAAGTGAAACTTTAGTTAAGAGTCCTGTTCAGCACAGACGGCAGAGCAGACCTCTGGTTTGTCCTCTCACCCTGTTGATGTCAGAAACCAAGGCTCCCTCTTTGGGCGTGTAGACCCTTTGGTTATTGGCCCTCATGCGACTCTGAATGGTGAACAGAAGCACCTCTAGATTTCCTTTCTCTTGAAACCTTAAAAAAAAGAAGAAGTTTTACCCCCAGGGGGTATGCAGAAATGAACCTCCAAACAAAAAGAGACACTTTTAGAATCTTGTGAGATTTATGCAACTTATTTGGACTCACTTGGGCGGCTTCTCTACAGTCCGATATGTGTTGAAGGCCTGAAGCTGCTGCTGGACTCCAGTAAGAGAGTTGGCAAGCTTTCTGTTGTTCAGCACGATGATGGTCTGCTCAATCCACGTCAGCAAGTCTGAAGCCAGCGTCTCATACTTATCGATCATCTTCTCCGTCTCTATAGCTTGATCCAGAACCTGGAGAATGAGGCCATATGTAAACAAAGGTGCTGGCTCTGCAGACTATGAGCACTTCCTGTGTGTCTTTCTAACCTTTCCAACTCGCTTTCCCTCAACAGCGAGCTGCTTCATCTTTGAGAAGTAGTGGTAAAATGCCACCACATAGGTGATGATGGATTTTTCATCTGGGTTCTCGGTGAAAACATCTGGAAAGGAAAATGACAGATAAGTTAATCAAAGCAACACGAGACATCACCTCCCCTGAGGTGTTTATTCTCCACCCAAATCAATGCTTATGAACATTGAGTTTTATGCGGAGGTGTTCACAGTCATCCGTCACTCGCCTTCTGGGTCTAACAGTTTGGTCACTCCAAGCTTTTGTTCCGCTACATTAAAAGCGTTCTGCAGGTTGTGGGTTGGATTGGACTTCTTCAGTTTGGTATAGTCCACCAGATCTGGCCTGGAAGAGAGATGAAAGAGCAGAAAAGACAAGACAGGATGAGAGATTAAAGAAAAATGAGGGGAGACACAGAGCAGACTGTGTTAAGAGAGAAGGTTTTATTTTTCATCCATACCGGTGTTTGTGTATGAGGGCGTTGAAGGCCATTCCGTCCTTCCAGCTGGTGGTGAAGTTTGTGATGTTGATGTTTGGGTATCTGTGAAATAAAAGTGATTGGATGTCACTGACTGAACATGACAGGACATTTCTGTGTAGCTCCAGCTTTAAATCACTGTCTGGGTTCTGTATGACGCTAAACCTTTTATAACCGTAGGTTCAAAGCCCTGAAGAGAAATATGTTTTGCCTTTTGTCTTTTTTTATTTCTGCGTGTGAGGCTGTTGTTTTTTTTCTAAACCAGTTCAAAACATGCTCTGTTAATTCTCTTTCTAAGCTTTTACAGTGACAGTAAGTAACATAGCAGTAATCCTACACTGACCTATTTAAATAGTTTTATCTTTTTTAAAGTTTTTTTTTTTTTTTTTTAAACTCAAAAGTCATCTGGAATCATGAAAAACAAAATGTAGTCCATGATTCTGAACAAATAAAAATCTAATTTTGGGGGGAATCAGCCTGAGCTTTAACTAGACCACTCTACACACAGATATACTTTGATCTAAAGTTTTCCTTTGCAACCTCAGATTTTTTTCTTTTAGCACAAAATGTGGAAAACCTGTGATTTCTTTTCGGCAAATGATAAGACTTTAAACAAAAACAAAAAAAACAATAAATAAATGAAAACTGCTTTTGCCTTAAGTTTTGTTTTCTTGGCAAAAACATCACCTGGCAGACCCCAGGAAATGACTGTTATATTCAGCTACTGGGAAAAAATGTATGAAGTTCATTATTTCTATCCAATCAAGTTTTATTCAAATATTTTTTTATAGCCAACATCTGCTCTTTTGGCAATTAGGTACAGTTTCTTAATGAATTTACCACCTTAACAGATATTAATTGTGTGAAACTTCACGTTGCAATTGACGACAATCATAGAGTGACACTGCATTAACAATTAATAAAGAAAATAAGGTACAGCCTTAGTCTTGGTTTTCCTACTGAAAAGCATTTTTGCTGTTGCTTGTTTTCTTCTTGGGACTCTTGAATAAAAACTCTGAGGCCTTTATGATCAGATGTATTTATAGAGATGAAATCGTCCAAATGTGGACTCTGTTTACTAATAAAGTGTCTTCTGATGGCATTAGGTTGCAGTGTAAATGGGCCTATATAAATTGGATTTGGATTATGTTGTACAGATGTTTGAGAATCATGTTCTATTCACCTTTCATTTGACAATCACTTTCCTCTTTGTGCTGATCAATGGAATAACATCTGATAAAGAACGTCAAAGTATGTCTTTTTTTTACAGCGTAAAGAAGGACAGAAGTTAAAGGGGTTCCGATAATTTTGTAATGCATTGTATAGACAGTTTTTTTTATTTTTTTTTAATTAAAACTCAGAGTTCAGAGATGCGACCACTAACAGTTTTGCACCTGGCTAAAAAAATCCCATAGTAATTCCTTCAGGATGCTTCAGGATGGTGAAGCTAAAGGTCACTTAAAGCACTTACCCTGCAGTTTTCATCTGACACCATAGAAGAAGAGCATCTTTAGCAGAGTGTGTCTCCTTCTGGTCTGCCTGGCCTGTTTCCACAATGATGTCCTGGATCTGATGAGGAAAAGGAAACACAGAAAGGAGGATGAATAATAAAACTTACCTAATCTTTTATTGTTACAATGAAAGGAGGAGGAATACAGACAACTGAGAGGACGCTGTGGGCCTCTTTTCCCTTTTCAAACTAATCTCCAGTGATGTGTCATTAATGTTATTAGTCAGAGAGGATTATTACACAACTCAACAGTAACTAAGATGGATGCAAAATAGGTGTTATTGACTGTAGTTCTTTTCCTACACACTGGGCCGATAATTAGAGCAGTGATGTGATACAAGAGACAGGTCCAGAGAGATTGCTAAATTTAGCTTTCTTTGGTTCTCCTTGGTTTGTTCAGACTGGAAATACAGCCTGTTTCTTTCTTTTACTTATCTTTTGAAGAGGCTGAATAATGGAGCAGGACTGATTGTTTGAACCATCATTTCTAAAAATAACCATGCTGCTGTCAAATTAAAAATAAATCTATGGCCCCAATCCTGGAAGATAACAGCAAAAACGACGTGTTTGATGTGCGTCTAAAAGACAAAAAAGACTGGAACCTGAAGGCATCATTTCCAGGAGAAATAATCCTCAAGCTGCAAGTTGAAATGATCATCGATGTTCCTGTGAACACATTCAGACTATGATAACTTGAGGGTTTTTTTTTTTTTTTTTGGTGTAACTGAAAAGGTGAAAAGGAAAAAAAAAAAACATAGATTTTGCAATTTTCTAAAATGTTAATTAATTTAACATAACATAAGTTTTTAATGGGATAAAAAAAAAAAAAAAAAACTTAATGGGAGGTCACGCTTCTTCCAGGATTTTAATTTTCTGCAGGGCTGAGTTTGCAGTTTATTCAGGCTGCTATAACAGGCAGCAA